CATCATCATCATCATCATCATCATCATCATCATTCATCATCAATCATCATCATCATCATTATCATCATCACGGTTTCGGTTTTTTTTTTTTTTTTTTTTTTTTTGTTTCAGCAGTCAGTAGTCATCTTTGTGTTTGCGATTATATTATCATCTCCCAGATAGGCTATGGTCTAGTTCGTAGGTAGGTTGGTCAGGAAGGAAGCGCTACTCCGCAGGGGTAACACAAGGTGGGAGGTGATTGCCCTCCAGGGAGTAGATGCAGATGATGGGAGCTGACCTGGGCTGGGGCTGGGAGATATGTATGGGGGCGCATTACCCCCTGGCGGAGGCAGACTAGGTCAGAGTGTTAGTTTTGAGGTACACCTTTTGGGGGAACTGGTTACCTCAAGGTAGAAGGGAATGGGGAGGTTCTCTCTCTCATTGGGGCTGATAGGAACTTCATGCTGATAGCGGGGTTCAGCTCAGCGGAGGCAGCGAGAGGAGAAGAGGAAATGAGTGGAGAGGAGGAGAATACATGGAAGAAGGGGAGGTGTGGAGAGAAATAATCATCAGCGTCGTCATCATTATCCATCATCTTTGTGATCATCTCAGGGTACTCGTCAAATTTCATCATCAGAAAGTTTTGCTGATCAAGATTCTGATATTATCAGATCCTTGATTTCTGGTTGGCATTCTGGATTAGCTAATTTCCTAATTGAGACGTCTTGTGTAATGGCCAGGTTGAGTTGGCGCCAGAATGACGCTAGCCGGCGCTGGGGCAGTGCCCTGTAACCTGCTTGTGTAGGAGCTTGAGGCTTTGTATAGAGGTCTGGAATTGCCGAGGGAGGAAGGCAATCTGCAAACTTGACTAATGGCTACAATCTGGCCAACGATGGTCGGAGCGGGGTGGGTAGCGCTGCCCTGTAACCGAGCCAGATTGGGGTGTGAGACCGGGAAGAGGCCTGATTGGTGCGCACGGGCTCAATTGTGATTGGTTGTTTGGAATGGATACAGGAAATTAGGGATAGGATAGTAATTCAGTGCTGAGTAGACAATCTTTCTGATTAGTCATCATCTAGCTCTATTTCATGATCTCAATCTCCCACTCTGACATCCTAAATCATCCAAAATGATCCTCAATCATCCTAAAATTGACAATCATTAATGTATTTCCATTATAAGGGATGCTGGGCCCGGTTCCCAGCATGTGACGCTCCCCACGAATAGATTGGAGCAATTTATTAAAAAAAAAAAAAGAAAAAAAAAAAGGGTTACTTCCGGTAGGGACAGGGCGGCAGTTTCCCTGGGTCGGAGGGGTTCCGTGAAGCTTCACTCTGCAGAAGACCGGGGTGTAACAGCTGGGATTCTGCCACGTGGCAGGGACAGGGTGGAATTTTAGTATGTTGGTGCAGTAGATGTAGATGATTCATTTGATAGCAATTGAAGATTGGTAGTAGTCCACCTCTGAGATAGATGGGCAGTCAATCCCCTTGCAAAGAGGGTAATCAATGCTGCTCATCGTATATAACTTGACAGAATGGCATGCATAACACATCTGATTCATCTGGCTCCTTGTTATGATGTAAAGGGACGCTGGACCCGTTTTCCAGCAGGTGCAGGCTGTGCAGCTCCCCACCAATGGAGCGGAGCCATCCAAAGAGCGGGGATAGTAGTGGGGGTGTCTGCTCTTATCAGCATCTCCCCTACACCCCGTCATATTGCATCTCATTATGAGACTGCAGCTCACATTGCCTCTCATTATGAGCAAGCACACAAGGGCATACGTGAATTCAACAGGTAAAACTGTGATTTCTCTCAGCAGACCTTGTAATTGGGCTGGCGGGAGTGAAAGTAATCGTGTGTCTCCGAACTGGTCCCGGTACCAAGTCCTATTTTCCCCTTGAACACAGTCCCTCTAGTAGGCCCCCTCGTAGAATCTTCCGGGTGGAGCCTTCTTGTACCGCCTATAGACACTGGCTGGAAGGGCCGCAGGGCCTGTAAATGTCTGTAGGGGTTACTAGTAGGGTCAGTCAAATAGGTTCTGGCCACTTGTCTGTCTCCGGTCAGTCACAGCTCAGTCCCACGAAAGTCCTATGGCATTCCGAATTATTGCCGGCCAAGGCTAAGGCGGGCAAGGACGACGTCAGAAGTCGAAGTTTCGGGTGTAGCAAAGTACCGAAATCAAGCTGCAGTTCACGTTCGAAACATGTTCTGGTTCCTCATGCTATCGCGGAAGCACTGCTGAAAGTGAGGGAGAAGTAGTCAATGACGCCCAACACCAAACCGTTAGGAGAGATCGAGAGGGGTTGAGTCGACGACGTTCAGGGGATGATCAGGAGGTCTGAGGGTAGAGAGGGAGAGGAAGAGGGGGGGGGGGGAGAGAGAGAGAGAGAGAGAGAGAGAGAG